TAATCCAATCTCCAATCTCCAATCTCTAATCTCTAATCTCTAATCTCCAATCTCCAATCTCTAATCTCCAATCTCCCAATGCAAAATGCAAAATGCAAAATGCAAAATGTAAAATGCAAAATGCAAAATGCAAAATCCAATCCAATCCAATCCATCTGTAAATAAGTTTGATCACAGTTGTTTGAGTTTTGGGTTACATGATAAGACATATCTGGTAATGAACACCGTTCTATAGATATTATATTAAGAAGATTCAACTTGATCAAGATCTTCGTTCAAGAATATTTGAAAGATGATGTTCATGACCAAATGTCGGATCTTGAAGATGAAAGTTAATATAATATACTTTCTTCTAGATATAGATATAGATAAAGTCTTCCTTGGTGGTTCAGATTTACACGAAGAGGGTGTTTGGAAATGGCTAAATGGCGAACCAGTAAATCGCACCCTGTTCCTTCCAGGCGAACCAAATGATTTGAATGGTGAAAATTGCCTGAGTACAAGAAAAACTGGTTACAATGATGTAGGGTGTTTTCTAAATTATAAATATATTTGCGAAGTTCCAACAAAAAAGGCATATTCCCCAAATTGATGTAGTTAAGATAATCTAAAAGAATATTGTATCATACTCGTGTAAATACACTGTAAATACAAAACAGTTGAAATCTACTCACTATTAATAATCTACTAATTTAGATGTTTTAAGTGATGAGTTGTGTTTAAAACAGTTCACTCTACTGAGTAGTATTTGAAATCTACTCACTATTAATAATCTACTAATTTAGATGTTTTAAGTGATGAGTTGTGTTTAAAAACAGTTCACTCTACTGAGTAGTGTTTGAAATCTACTCACTATTAATAATCTACTAATTTAGATGTTTTAAGTGATGAGTTGTGTTTAAAAACAGTTCACTCTACTGAGTAGTGTTTGAAATCTACTCACTATTAATAATCTACTAATTTAGATGTTTTAAGTGATGAGTTGTGTTTAAAAACAGTTCACTCTACTGAGTAGTGTTTGAAATCTACTCACTATTAATAATCTACTAATTTAGATGTTTTAAGTGATGAGTTGTGTTTAAAAACAGTTCACTCTACTGAGTAGTGTTTGAAATCTACTCACTATTAATAATCTACTAATTTAGATGTTTTAAGTGATGAGTTGTGTTTAAAAACGGTTCACTCTACTGAGTAGTGTTTGAAATCTACTCACTATCAATAATCTACTAATTTAGATGTTTTAAGTGATGAGTTGTGTTTAACAACAGTTCACTCTACTGAGTAGTGTTTGAAATCTACTCACTATCAATAATCTACTAATTTAGATGTTTTAAGTGATGAGTTGTGTTTTAAAACAGTTCACTCTACTGAGTAGTGTTTGAAATCTACTCACTATCAATAATCTACTATTTTAGATATTTTGATTGATGTGTTGTCTTTAGAAATAGTTCACCCTACTGAGTAGTGCTCAACAAAAGCCACAAAAGATATATATTTAAAGTTGTTGACCAAGTTTGAGAATTTGAATTTTATATCCATTTTAATATTTAAATGGTGGCTGTTTCTAAAAAAAATTCTTTTTATCATATGACTATTTTACGAGGTGAAAGTCTGTTCCTAACTATTTACTGTTTATGTTCTAAATATTTTGTATTATACTTTTTAGAGCTTTTAAAAAGCTAATCTAATAGTTTACATGATTAAAATTTAAACGTAAGTAAATGGATCTCATTTAGACTTATTCTGCATTTATCGATTTTCGTTTAATTATCTTTCGAAGACAATAATTTTTCTTTCATATATCTTAAAGGGACTCAACTCGTCTCTTCTTGAGACTCTTCCATGTATAGAAAAGACATTATACAATGTGAAATTCCAAATTTGAGGTTTTTTGAGGGAACTGTGTGATTTTTGAAAATTTGTATTATAGAATTTGTATTGTAGAATTTGTTTACAAATATTCAAGATCTAAATGAACCCCTTATAAGGATTGTAAAGAGGTTTTCTAAATTTTATACGTGACACTGATAACAACAATGCCCAGCACCATTCTAATTTTTAATCAGACGTCTGTGGTTCTTGCAAATCCACTAAAACTAAGTGTTGACGTCACTAATCGCGAAATATGCTTTATCTCATGGGCCTTATGCTATTAGTGACGTCATCAAATTCAAATTGCAAGAACCACAGACGTCTGATTGAAAAATGGAATGGTGCAAATTGATGCTATCAGTGTCCCCGCAACGCATGCAACTTCTTTACAATTCTTTTTAACTGGCGAATCTGTCCCTTTTTGCATTGAATCCCACCTGAGTTTTTTTGTATGTCAAGGTTCTACTAATAAAGCTTCATTAATTAAAACGACAGGGAAAACACTGATTAGAGATTGTTCTTCTTTGTAATAGACCAGAAACGGAATCTATTAAAATCAGATAACAATGTCCACATTTCATACTTGGAAATCCTCGACAGTCGATTTTCTTCTTTTATCTTTTAAGAATGTTGTACAGGTCGATAGAGTCTTTCAAATATTTGCTTTGGAAATACCCATAAATATGGATCGCATGATCGCATGCAGATCGCATGATCGTCATCATAGTACAATCTTGGTAGACCGAGCAACATTCGTATTAAAACTTCTATAACTTCTTGGTTAAAATTTTCCATGGTAAAACATTTTTTAAGTCAAACTAACCAGCTCCTCAACTATGGCGGGGAAAAGCAGCAAAAACCTAATGCTATGCAGAAATGTCTAATTCAAAACACAAATGTAATATAATGCAATAACAAATACCTAAAACGTCTTATGCAAAAGATAAAATACAAGAAACCTCTGATACAAAATACCTTATACGTTAAATGCAAAAGACATTATACAAGAAACCTTTAATACAAAATACATATAACATCTAATGCACAATTGATTTTACAACGTGAAACATCTACCATAAGCATTAGACGACATATCTCGTTTGCATTACCTACATTTCTACACTATAATATCTTTGTTTTGAATTAGACATTCTCTGCATAGCATCAGGTTTTTGCCGCTTTCCCCCGCCATAGTATAACTACCTCACGCACTTCCTTTCCTTTCGCTCGGGGTCATGAGTCTTCAACGGTAATAAACAGATCAAAATATTTTCCATTATACTTTAATATACAGATTTTACATTTTACAACAAGGTAACTTTCATTACCAACGGACAAGACAATTGTTAGTTTAATATTGAGCTTGAGTAAAAGCTCTAAACAGCATCAATCCATTGACACCAACCCCGACCATGAAACAGAGTGCCCTAGTAGGTTGTGGTAATGGTGTAAGATAGGCTACTGTATGAAGAAGTCGAGCCGCTGCAAATGTCCTAAACAGATAAAGGGCGACATTTTCATAAGGTTCACTAGCCACGTACAGTAAACCAATTAAAAGAAATGGGATGTTGTTTTCTAAATCGTTTTGGTGACATCTGAAATAAACAATAACAACAAGATTAATGATGCTGTAACGACATAAACTTACAGGAATGTACTCTTGATCAAGATTTCTTGAGACTCCGCCATATATAGAAAAGGCATACAGAAATTGTCAATTGTCCGCTGTACTTAATAGAAAGAAAATCCGACGCTTAACTCTTCTTAAATTCAATGAATCCCCAACACCCCCCCCCCCCCNCCCATCATTACATCCGGTTACGGGCCTGGTTTATTTACCTTCGAATTCGTTCAACAGTGGCATCATTAAATTTGGGTTTCAAACTTTTATCTTTACTAAGTTTACAATCTTCTTCATTGGAAAATGTCTGAAAATAAAATATTAAGTTTATTTAGATTGAATGGATTTGAGATAATCCTGAAAACTGTTGAATTGGAATCTGTTGGTGTCGGTGACCAGTACCATCTCTAAGGCCATACCATTCAGTGTGCAATGATGGAGTGTGATCTGTTAACGTAACACGTGCCCACATCCCTGGAAAACAATCCCAAAAAAAAAATATTCATATTCATCCCAGAGTGCTGGATCAGAGGTCCTTGAAGGTGTGTCAATATTAATATAAATACGTATAACACTATTTTCTCCACATTGCCTGTATTTTTTATATTGACACAACTTCAAAGGCCTATGGCTGGATTAAATTGGCCTATTATATTTTGCAGCTAAAAACAACGATTCGTCACTAAAATATAAAGATATTTCATCTGAAACTGTCGCAGATCGCTGGCTTCTTTTACTCCATTTTAAGGAGAAGACCAAACGGACCCCCTTGCATTATCCCCAGCGTTGTCGCTGTTACACAAAGGAGGGGGTGTACGATTCAGTAGACGCTTTTATCTGTACTACTTTCGACATACATCACTTGCAGAAGGAAAAAGATTTGAAAAATGTCAACATATGTCGGTATGGAGTTTAATCTGAGATTGAAAATATCATTGAAATTATAGAATGGTCTGTTACACAATGGGCACAAGATAAACTTTTAACAAGCGACAAACGAAGTAGCTCAGCTGTCTTTACTAAAGTTAACTATGCATGCCAGCCTACAACCGAGGGCACGGGGGCGCACTGGGACGCTCCGTTTCTAACATAGGAAACAAAATAAGCTCACCTCGTTTTTCATTCTAAAGAATGACGTAGCAGGTCCCATAATTAATGTTTTGCATAGCACCACTCCTGAGTAGAAGGCAAACTGCGAGAAAACAGGGTTATTGAATGATAAAACGTCCGACATGTTGGAAATAGTTTGCTAACTAGCTGTTCCGCTCTAATACCCCGTGTATTAAAACTCAGGTTCATTTACGCAGTGACTTTACCAAGCTGCTGATAGTATACGTTTTATAGTTCGTTATTTTATTGGCCAACTGATATTCACAGAATAATAGTCTCTATATAATATAACTCTTCACTATCTTTAGATCTTCGCGTGAATGTGACCTATTTTAAATTATTTAGGCCTACCTCTAAGTTACAGACCACAACGATTTAATTAAATAATCACACTTCAGGACTGGTGCCATGGCTATATACAATATATTATATAACATGCAGTGTATGTTTGTGTGTGTGTCTTTTCAACTAAAATCATACTAATGACTAACTAATTTTCACATAATTAATAAGCTTATCTGTTGCTCTGTGACCTAGGCCAGTGCTTTCATAGAGACTCGTCTCAATACACCTTAACAGACCAACTACAAACAGTCATACCTAACAGCCTAAATATCCAATATGACAACCAAATCATACCTTTCATTGCAACCTACAATACTACAGCTAAAATGTCTCTGTCATTGTCAATTTTCACTTTCACGGCTAATATCTTTAAACATATTTAGTTTTCATGATTGCATTGGTTGGTGGATACAAAAAAGGGAAATCGAATGATTTAGAAGAAAAGTTTTCTCGCTTAATATCTTCTAGATTAGTGTAGTCTGTAGCAACTCATAATAGATAGTCGTTACCTCCCTTTAATAAAAACCTATCTCTTAACCTCCGACTCCTAACCAGGTACAAAATGCACCGAAATTCCATATCATTTTGGTTTATGACCTGACAATTTTTGACTATCTTTATCGTCTATCTGATACATTACAAATGATCACAATACGCCTGATTTTTATTCTGAAATGCAATAGGGATACCCAGATTATAGAGACAGTCTTGAATATAAAATAGTCTTTAGAAGAACTAGAAATGTATGAAAATCGCATAATTCCTTCAAAAGTATCTCAAACTAGGAATCTCTTTTCCTTTTGCTATAGACGTTTAATATGTCTTTTTCTGGACACACATGGATTTGATGTCTCAAATTTCGACGGTGAGCTGTGAACACTATTGCTGGTTGGCTTGGGCGCATTGCCCGTTAAGTTGCATTAGCTAGGGAATCCAATATTCAAATAAAGAATTGTTTACTCTTTGCCTGCATCTAATGAAAGATGACATATGATCCAGGCTATTTTATGAATTTGTTAACTCTCAAAATTACTTAAAAATTCTTCTAATGAATATTCCGTTCACATTGGCATCTTAAAGGGACAGATGCAATTTTGTTGGGTTGATTTGAGTCTTGAATATTATATATATCAATAGTCTACAGAAGTACTAAAAATGTACAAAAATCGCATAATTCCTTCAAAATATCTCAAACTAGGAATCTCTTTTCCTAATATCTATATCATATATCTTTTCTATATAAATCAGAGTCGGGAGAAAACACCAGTCGTCTTTTAAACTTTCAAACGCGAATAATTCTGGACACACGTGGAATGGAAAGCGCAAATTTTGACGATGAGCTGTGAACATTATTACTGATTGGCTAAGCTAAAAAAAATCCCCGGTTCTAAGGTATGATTGGTAAATTCAAATTGCACATGTCCCTTTAAAGCGTTTCTAAATGATCCCTTTAAATAAAATTAAGATTTATCACAGCGGCCTGCAAATCAAATCAAATTGTATATTCTTCTATATTTTCTTTTGAAAATTTGCTGAATCTAGCAAATATGCAGAAACTCTCGGGGGTGTCTTTAATCTCATCTTAAAATTATTGGCAAAATCTTTCTTAAGATTTTTGAATTGCTATTTTGAATTTTTTTGGAGTGAGAATATAAATTTAACTTGTTTCGCCACAACTGATAGTTGATTTGATAGATTGCCAATCAATTTTATTCTAAATTAAACCCACAGCACATTGGGCTAACGGTAAAAAGTGCTGTGTTCTTGGACTGTGTTGACTGCACATTATTTAAAATATTCCTTGACATTTGGGAAGAAATCGAAGAAATTACAAGCTTAAGCTACTGTCCTTCAATATCTTCATTGCACACTGCATGGTGTAAGCTATTTCAATTTAGGTACAGAATAGTGGGACGTAAAACTCTTTTCATTTCATTGCATTTTTTGTATAATCAAGTACATAATCAAGCCCTATATCAAATCATGTTGGCTGAACAGAGTATTGCAAATAAAATGACAACAGGTCACCCACTCTCGTCATTCTGAAGTACCCCCATAATCAACCATTTTCAAAGCGTGTGAATAAATTTATCCTGAAGAAAAGAACACCTTTCCCTTTGTGATATAAAAGCGCGCTTTCACTCCAGAATACCTTTAGATTTTAAAAACCCGTTAACAAAATGGACTCGACCAAATTGAACTTTCAACGTAACTCAGCCATAACCGTGTAGTGTTGTGAACCGGCCGGCTAGCCAGCTTTACTGGATTTCTAAACTTGGGCAAAAATAGCAGATAAAATATACTTTTAGATATAAGGAATACAAGGGAAACTGAGTGTCATCTATGTAAAATCAAGAAAGGACAGAGGTTGTCAAAATGCCATCGAGAAATTCAATGAGTGAGGAAGAACGACATGTTGATAATTTTGACGAGGTAAGTGGCTCCATTACGTTTCAACTGTCTCCAAACCTGAAAACGGGACATCAAATTGTGAACTCAATAACTAATGGACATTGTTGTAAAGGAATGTCCTTAACGATTTAGATTAGGAAATTTGACGTTATATAAACGTGAAGAGTATATCACACAAAAATGCTGATATACTATAAGTGGTTTATATTACGTTTATAAGTTATGCATTACTAATCATTTGACTTACACAACTTCAATTAGGCCGAGTCATACAGTTAGTAGGTATGATAAATACTATTTGTCACGCGTTTGTAATAAAGTACTGAAAAGCAAGCTAAATTTACCTTTGATACAAGTAGATCCCGTAGAAGACACATGCCTTAAAAAAAGCACCAATACTGTCTAATAAATAATTAGTATACCTGTATATTGCAAATTGTGGTATTAAAGATAGGCCCCAACAATTTGTGTGTAAATTTTTCAGTATTACTATGCTATAAAAATTGTTCCATATTCAAAAATATCTCCCCATAATTTATTATGTATGTGTATTACAAATTTCAGCCCATAACAATCTAGATAAACCTATATACTATTTTGCCCTACAGCAAAGGAGGTGGACATTGTTGCATGTAATTTTTGGACATCATTTATCAAAACTTTTACAGTTGTCATAAGTGTAATATTTCTTATATGTAATACATGAGAAATGGTGCAGAGTTTGATGATGCACACAGAATTAAAGGGATTGTAAAGAGGATTTCTAATTTTTTTATGTGTAGCGGGACACTGATATCATCCACTGATATCCAATTTTCAATCAGACGTCTGTGGTTCCTGCAATTCCACTAAATCTAGGTGTTTGATGATTTTACTAATTTCAAAGGGCCTTACATAATAGGGCATACTTCATGATTAGTGACGTCATCAAATCTTAATTTTTTAGTGGCATGGCAGAAACCACAGATGTTGATTGGAAATTGAAATGGTGCAAATTAATGCTACCAGTGTCCCAGATACACATACAAAAATGAGAAAACCGCCTTACAATCCCTTTAATTAAGTAGAAAATTATTGCTGTAGGTTTTTTTTTTAAAAAAGCTATACTGGTAATAAAGATATTCTTGATTAATGAATGAGTCAAATAACATGTAGGCTACATCAAAATATCACTTGCACTCCATAGCCTATTACTAGTTTTATTTTGGTAATTTCTATAACCACATGCAGTAAACTCAAAATAATTCTGATTTCCCTTAAAGGGACAATTGCGCCCTTTTTTGACCAATCAAACTTTAGTCTTAGAAATGGGAATTTTTTTAGCTAAGCCAATAAATGATGGTGTTTACAGCCCACAGTCGAAATTTTAGCCTTCAAATCCACGTGTGTCCAGAATTATGGGCGTTTGAATGTTGAAATAAGGACTCATCAATTAAAGATACTCTGTGATATATATAGAAAAGGCATATATAGCAATAGAGAGTAAAATTCCTAGCAATTTTAGTACATGTACATTTAGTACATCAACCCCACAAAATGATGCATCTGTCCCTTTAAGACTTTAATCCAAAATCTACCCCTGTTCAATAAGTTTGCTTGTTCTTGATTTTTTTTTCCCATTACCAAAGAATGAGTTGGAACTTTTTTGTCAGAGGAGTTTTTTTGTGAAAATGAGCCAGTTTCCAGTTTTGTGAATTTATCATATTTGATGTTTCTATATTAATGAAAGTATCAGTTATTTAATTGTGTTTATACAAGAAATTCCATTCCGCCATTTTTTGATATTTTTCACCTGTTCAATGTCTAACAATTCTTTAGAAGAATCTAAAATCAATTAAATTTTGTTTATGATACCAAGTAGTTGCTAACCTACAGTTATTAGAAAAGATCTGCTGTTAAGTAGTATTTGTATAATATGATCCTTGCTGAGGTTAAGTTCAGATTTTTAAACCCTGCTTCTCCCTGTGATGCGGGTTGGAGGGACTGACAGATAAAAAATTACTTCTTGTTTTTATGGGACAATCTCCTACTGTCTCAAAGGGCCAGATGTACCTATCCAATTTCGGAAACGTTGGAAAATTGTTAAATACTGTAAAATTTCCTAAATTGCAATCTGCATGATGTAGGCTATAGCTAGTCTTCACTGGTACTGGGTACTGGTTTGTGAAATTAAATTTTATTTTGGTTTATAGAATATAAATAAAGAGATCATTTTCTTCTGCTTTTAAGAGCCTTCAAAAGAAACTGTTGTAAACAGTCAGAAACAGGTTGGCTTATTTCTCACAATGCACAGTACAGAGCATTGTTATCACCATGCCAATCAAATGCAGAAAATTAAATATGAAACCCCATTTCTTTCTACACCACCATTCCAGTGTATCTAGATATTATTATGTTAACTGTTAAATGCACTAGATTGATGTTTAAAAATTTAATTTGCTAGAAATATAACCTCTCACGTTATACTAGCTGAATAACCTGACTTTA